TTTTACACTTTCAATTTTCAATTTGTTACTTTCTTCTTTTTATTCACACATTTTTTTTCTTTCAATTTTTACATACTACCAAAATAGGTGGATGAAGGAAAAATAAGGAGGTGTATGTAAAAATTGAAAAAAAAAAAAGAAAAATATATTAAAAAAAAAGTACTAAATTAAATGTTGTGAGTGTAAAATTAAAAAATTTAAAATAAAAAATTAAGAATATTTTAAAATTTTATTTTTTTAAAAAGAGGTATACTTATAAAAAAAAAAAAAAAAGAAGGTGTATATATGATGAACCTTTAACGAAAGAAGAAGTTAGGCCCAAACTTATAAGTTGTGTGTTTGCGAGTCTTTGGGCCTTTTGAATTTAGTTTGATCTTGACCCAAAAAGAATCCTTTGAATCCATGGGTGTGATAATAAGTGGTAAAAACAAATGACAACATGGCATCTTAGCATCCCAAATCGGGAAAAAAATCTCCACCACATACACTTTCGTCCTTCTCATATCACCTACCTCTGGCATGAATGATAAATTGATAACACATTCGTCTATAGCACTAAAAACAAATCCCAGAAGCTGAAACTTGAAAGGGGTAGTCCATATTATGATGAACAAACAAGAACAGGAACAGGAACAGGAACAGGAACAGAGTGTGAAGATTGGCGTTGTCACAGTGACAGTGGTTGTGATGCTGTCATTGGTATGCACGAGTGGCGCAAGCACTGGTGGCAACCTCCACCCCTTAATTCTAATACCTGGTAACGGAGGGAACCAACTAGAAGCTAAATTGAGCAATGAGTACAAGCCCTCTAGTTTCATCTGCGACTCGTGGTACCCTCTTATCAAGAAAAAGAAAGGATGGTTCAGGATTTGGTTTGATACCAGTGTCATCCTTTCCCCTTTCACGCAATGCTTTACTGAACGCATGATGCTCCATTACCATCCACAACTCGATGATTACTTTAATACCCCTGGAGTTCACACCCGCGTCCTTCACTTTGGTTCCACCAACTCCCTTCTTTATCTCAATCCTCGACTCAAGTAAGCACGTCCCTTTCTTTTTACTCTCTCCCATTGCACTTGCTTCTTCCATTTTTTTTCCCTTACAGACTGTTTGGTACTACCTATGTGTTTATATTACTACTAGACAAATGCTAAAGTTCAACAAAAACAAACATTGATTGGTCCTATATATAACTTTTTGTCCAATCATTAGTTCTATAGTTTTATGAGACGCGTGCACATTAAAAAGATAAAAATTAAATAAGGTCTAGATAGATTAAAATTTACTATTCGAATAATACTTGATCGTGTCTGAATTATGTTGGTACCTTGTTTATAACATTTTTCATTAATAAATGGTACCTTATACATGAATAGGCATATCACTGGATACATGGCACCCCTGGTAGATTCATTGCAAGAGCTTGGTTATGCTGATGGTGAAACTCTGTTTGGAGCCCCCTATGACTTTCGATATGGCCTAGCTGCTGAAGGGCACCCCTCCCAAGTGGGGTCCAAGTTCCTAAAAGACCTAAAGAATTTGATAGAAGAGGCAAGTGCTTCCAATGGGGGGAAGCCAGTGATACTTCTCTCCCATAGCTTAGGAGGCTTATTTGTACTTCAACTCCTAAACAGAAACCCCCTCTCTTGGCGCCAAAAATTCATCAAACACTTCATTGCTCTCTCAGCTCCATGGGGTGGTGCTATAGACGAAACGTACACCTTTGCATCTGGCAACACTCTAGGAGTGCCCCTAGTGGACCCTTTATTAGTGAGACCCGAACAAAGAAGCTCCGAGAGTAACCTATGGCTTTTGCCTAATCCCAAAGTATTCGGTCCCCAAAAACCAATAGTTATCACTCCCAATAGAACCTATTCAGCACATGATATGGTTGATTTTCTCAAAGACATTGGTTTTCCAGAAGGGGTATACCCTTATGAAACTCGCATTGTGCCCTTGATATCCAACATAGAAACACCACAAGTGCCTGTGACTTGTATTATGGGGACGGGCGTGAGAACCTTGGAAACGTTGTTTTATGGGAACGGTGATTTTGATGAACGGCCAGAAATTTCTTATGGGGATGGTGATGGAACGGTCAACATGTTGAGCTTGTTGGCGCTTCAGTCACTGTGGAAAGAGGAGGGAAATCAGTACCTGAAAGTGATCAAGATGGATGGGGTGTCGCATACTTCAATACTTAAAGATGAAGTTGCACTTAATCAAATAGTAGGTGAGATCAGTAAAATCAATTCCCGTGCTGAGCTTGATTTAATCAATGTGCTTTCGGAGTAAATGATCAATGCACTTGAACCGTAGTTAAATATCCGTTGTCAGCGGATTAAATTTTGCGTGGGATTTCTTTTCGCATGTTCTTGTTCATAGGAGGATTAAAATGTTGTGGTACTAATTATTTGATTGGTTAGATGACAAGAAAGATTGAAGAGAGACAGTTGATTAGATTGGTTTGATTAACGTGAATTATAACATGAAGACAATAACATTTTTCCATCAATGGGGAGATGCTTTTGGAGTCGTAGATATATAATTGTGAAAAATCAACCATTCATAAAAAAGTATTGACAACCTAACCTGTCTTCGGATAGATGAACTCAATATTTGATATTTATTCCTATTTAACAGGACCCAATTTTGGCTCTGCATTAACCCAAATTTGTCTCAATTCTTCTTTAATATGGTGGACTTGGTGATTTTATTTCTTTATTTTTTTTTATTTACTTTTGATTGTTGTCAGCTTCCTTAATTAATTAATTTCTAAGTTTTCTTTCTTCTTTTTTCCCTTCATCTTCTTAAGGGGTGCGCTTGATAAAAGAAAAAATTTTAATTTTAAGAAAATTGATGTTGAGTATATTAGTTTTTTTTATATATTTAAAAACTCGTTTAAAAATATTATTATTGCAATATCAAGGAAAATACTAATTTTTTAATATAACAGTTGTATATATATTTAATATTTATTTATTATATTTGTTATTAAAAAATTTCATCAATTAGATTATGTTCAACAACTGATTAAATATTTTTAATTCAATAAATTAATTTTTAACATTTTATTTAATGCAATTTTTTTTTCAAGAATCAATAACTGATTTTTTTTTTAAGTACTGATATTTATTTATGTAGTTGACACCACTTAACAAGTAACAAGAGTCATTCTACACACATTGACCTAAAATTTAACCACGTACTCAAGGAATGTGGTGATCTGCAAAAATTTTTGACTTAAAAAATAATGTTTAAACTTTGAACTACTTTTCTAAAATTTTGATTAACATATTAATAATTTAAATAGAATCAACATAATTAATGGATTCTTGTATTTTTTTTATAAATAAGAAAGATTATAAATATGATTACCATGAAGATTAATGTAACGACCCACCTTAGTCGTCACACTGCAAAGGAACAACTAAAATCAACTGAAAATATATATATACTAAATAGTATACTATTAATCAACACACGTAAAACTACGATCATCCAACAAAAGTGGCTCAATAGTCCATAAAATATATATGCAATGCCAACCAAAAAATATTACTCCAACTACAGTATTCTACAAAACAAAATAAAACAGGATCGTATACTCTAGCTCCTGTCCAACATCTATATGAATCCTTGAATTTGAGGTTCCTCAACCAAAAACAAGTGAGTTAAAAAGAAAACAGAGAAAGAGATGAGTGGGAAGAGTAACAAGAAAGGTACGAGTCTTACAATCAAACTTAAATTTTGATATATAAAAAAAATATTTTAAAAAATAATTCTTTGAAAATAAATAAAAAATTATTTCTTAAAAACATAGAAAGTTACTATTTTAAAAAAGAAAGTTTAAATAAACATAATCAAAAGTAAAAAAGAAAATGTTTATTTTATTAAAAAGAAACGCCTTTTATAAGAAAAAAAAAAGTTTAAACAAAGTAAACTCATAAGAAAGGATGAGTATTTTTTATTTTTTAAAAAGACCAAACAGTCCTCGTTCTTTTCATATTTTTTAAATCGTTTAATTATATTTATCTTATATACTACTATTTTTTTTGTTTACACGATCAAGTAAGAAAAAAAAATCTTATAACTTTTTTCTTCTAATAAATAACATAAAAAATATAACATACTGTTTTTCGCATTATTTTTTCATTTCATTTTCTTTCTGAAATCAAACGTAACTTAAAAGGTTGTTGGACTTGTATTATTCTATTTAATATTTCTGTATTTGGAAATTTGAAGAAAAAAAAAGGAGATAAAATTATTGATTTTGGTCTGGTTCACTTTATGAGACGGTAATTTGTTTAGATTTAAAAATGGAAACATGGTGACAGGCAAGCATTGAATAACATACAGTGGTTGAAGAAGCAGTTGTTCGAAGTTGGAAGTTGAAGCATGGAAAGTTGAATTCCTCCCACCGTGAGTGAGGTTCACAGATAGAGGGTTCGTACTAGACACCCTTTGGCCTCCAGCTAAATATTTTGACCACATTTACTTTACTTTTCTTTAGAATTCATTCTTTGTTTCCACCCCTGACACTTGGTTTTGACCACTTTTTCCGCAAATACAAAAGAGAGACATGCCCTCGTGCACTTGCTTAATCTTTTTCTTTTCTGCCCACGCCTTTCTCCCTCCAAACTCTGTTCTGCTCCAGTAACAACAATATACTATATACACTCACCTAGATACCAATCGTGTGGTTCATATACTTATTAAAAATGTTATCTGCATTCTGCGCATACACCTTTCCGCTTATGTTTTTTTTTTATCAAAATTATTCTACGAAATGAATAACAAAATTGGAATAGTTGGAAAGTCTCGAGAGAAAGAAACGACATCGCTTGAGCTTGTGCTTGAGCACAGTCTTCAATAATTCTGGTTCGGTGGCATGTGTATACCTTTTTGACTATCTGTCCGGGTCCCAGGTTGCGTCTTCAAGCTCAAGATTGTCCCTTAACATACTATACTATCACATAAAAAAAATTAATAAAAAAATTACATGTCACTGCACCCGTGTGCTGCAGGGTCGTTTAATAAAGGCTCTAACGTCCAATCACAATTTTAGATCTAACGCAACGTAACCCTCCCTAGTCCCTTCTTTTAACATTCTAGTAAAGTATTTTTATAAATACACGTGAAATAACATGTAGCATGTGGAATTATATTAGAAATAAAAGAAAATTGAGAGAAGATTATATTTACATTTATTGTTGGAGGTGGGTAAATAAGTAGTAGCATATATCCCTCCCAGTGGCAGAAGCAGAAGAAATACAGAAGGCAGCTTTTTCTTGGGTATTCAGTATTCTATTCCTTCCAACTAAATTTTTGTATGTTTGGGTACAGTCTGTAGAATTCATTTTGTTGTCCTCTTATGGGCCGGGGTGAATGATTTATTTTGCTTGGGTTGAGGAGGAAGAGTGGCAACCTCGGTATTGGCGAATGGCGATGGGAAATTAATTAAGGGTCAATCATGTGGTTGATGATGAATAAAAAAAAGCGGGGCACTCGTTTTTTGACCAAAGAAAGGTGACACAGTAGTTAAAGAAAGGTTGTCCCTCTCTCTCTCTCTCTCTCCCACACGGAAGAGCTAGCGCACGTATGCAAGCATGGCTGGAGCGAAAGAAGGCAAGGCCTTGGATCTGAAGACGGTGATTTGCGAGCTGGAGTCGTCAACGATGGAAGTCCCTTCCGTGTTCGTGTGCCCCATATCGCTGGAGGCGATGCAAGACCCCGTGACCCTCTGCACGGGCCAAACCTACGAGCGGTCCAACATCCTCAAGTGGTTCTCCCTCGGCCACAACACGTGTCCCACCACTATGCAAGACCTCTGGGACCGCTCCCTCACGCCCAACGCCACTCTCCGCCACCTCATCCTCACCTGGTTCTCCCACAAGTACTCCGCCCTCACCAAGACACTCCACCACCTCCACGCCACCGCCTTACACCTCTTGGACACCCTCACCAAAGTCAAGGGCCAAAACAGAGTTCGCGCCCTCAAACACCTCCGCCAGCTCCTCGACTGCCACGTCTCCACCCGGAAAACCGTCCTGGAACACAACGCCCTTCCCTTGATTTCCTCCTTCTTGGGCCCTTTCACTTCCCACGCCGTTGGCTCCGAGGTCATTGGGATTCTCGTCAACTTGGATTTGTCTTCCGACTTCAAGAAGACCCTCATGCAACCCTCCAAGGTCTCGTTGCTCGTCGACATCATGAACGAGGGAACCCTTCAGACCAAGATGAACTGCGCCAACTTGATTCAAATCTTGTTCATCGAAGCCAACGCCTCCGAATCCCACGCTGAGTTTCTTTCAAGTTTGAGTCTTTTAGTCGGCTTGTTAAGGCTAGTTAGAGATAAGAAACACCCAACTAGTGTTTTAACGGGACTCGTGTTGCTCAACATCGTGTGTTCGCGTGAATCGGTTAGAACCTCCCTTGTCACCCTAGGCGCGGTGCCTCAATTGATTCACCTTTTGCCCACTTTGAACAACGAGTGTTTGGAGATAGCTCTTCATATTCTCGAGGTTTTGTCGACGCTTCCTGAGGGAAGATTGGCTTTGAAGGAGTGTCCCAATATTATTCCCAATGTGGTCAAGTTGTTGATGAGAGTTTCGGAGAGTTGCACGCAATTCGCCTTGTCGATATTGTGGGCTATCTACAAGCTTGCCCCACAAGAATGTGCTTCCAAAGCTGTGGAGGCAGGGTTGGCGCCAAAGCTACTTCTAGTCATTCAGAGTGGTTGCAACCCCGTCCTCAAGCAGAAATCCGCAGAGTTTTTGAAAATGTGCAGTCTAGATTACTCTACTGGTATTTTGATTTCCAACTGTATGCTTACTGCAACCATACAATGAAAATTCACATATATTTGTTCATACTTAACTTCATATTCTTTTTCATATTTACCCAATTAAGTATCTTTTCTTTACCATATAATCCTTAAGTCTCTATATAGATAAAAACATGGTTAAGAAAAAGATAATCTTTTAAATGAATATTTTATTTGTAAATTCAAAAATTAGTCTCAGATAGAGATTATCTTGGGGTGTATATTATTATGGTGCACAAGTGTTGTATTTTTTTTATGAAATATTACTATAAGAGGGGTTTATTTTCTATTAACGAAGGGCAATTACAAATTGACGGATGTAATATAACTACGAGTGGGTACTTATTAGGTAAGAGTTGGTTGGAAATTCAAAATCAGCATCGATCGGATAACGCTGTGTGCTTTTGAAATAATTGTGGGGAGCTGAGTTGTAAGATCATAGAAAGATAATGTAACAATAGTCCAATTTATTCTGAACCCCACCTTTTTGTTCCTGTGTGTTAGGATTAGCTGGAGGTGGATTCGTTAATTAAAGCTCTGTTTGGTTTAATGAAAAGAGAGCCATGAAATAGATAAAATTTTAAATTTGAATTAAAATGAAAAGAAAATAAATATAATTTTTAATTTTTGTTTCTAGAGGATATTTTTTCTACTTTTTCAATTAAATGGAAGAAAATGTATATTATCTTTATTTGGTGTGGGCCAAAGTCCAAACAGATAATGAATTTAGTTGTGTTATTGTAAGGAGAGGGCGATTGTTGATGATAGGACAGAAAGTGTTTTGGTTCGGAGCAAAGATAAAGGGTCAACAGGAAAGAATCTGGATTAGGTGTTTTTAGGTGTGGTCAAGATCGGGAATAGACTGTATAGTCTGTAATGTATGGCTCTTAAAAACTCTAGTCATTTTTAAAAAGTTGAAGAAGACAAGATAACAGACATAATTTATGGCATGCTTTTTCATATCTTAATTTTGTCAAATCTCGTCTTTCATGGCGTGGACTGGCGGGCTCATTCAATTGAACACTCAAAATTTTGGAGCCAATTCTTGCCCTCAATTTAAGGATTACGCAACAAAACTAGGATGTTCTGAAACTAAATATTACCATACGAGATTGTTTGTTTTGATCCATTTTTTCCCCCTCATGTTGAAACATTTCTAAAAATTAAATATTAAAATGTCACTGCCATTAAGTTGTTTTATTGTTGATTAGGTTAACTTATAAATTAAAGTAGCGAGCTTTTTTTTTTTTTACAGGAAAGTAGCGAGATTAATCAACTTTAGATTGAAATTAACGGATAAGTCCCGCTAGTTTCATACATATAACCATAGTTTAACTAGTTAAAGTTTATGTATTAATAATATTGTTGGAATATATGATAATATATTCTGATTTTATTAATTTGGTTAAAATTAAAAAATAAATTAACTATAAATAAGAAACTAAATATACACTTAATAGATATTATAATAAATTAGAATATATTATTATATATTCTAACAAACATACTGATTGAAAAATAAGTTAGATTTACTAGTTTTATGTGTTTTTTTCAATTCATGATATAAATATAATAATTTTCACAATATTATTTTTATCATCTCTTTATCACATCATTTATTATTTTATAAATTTTTTTGTCTTTCACTCTCTTGATTCTACAAATATATTTTTTCTTTTAGTAGATAAATTGCATGTGAGATGTCAATATGTTACACAAGGGTTTATCTCTTTGTTTGGTTGAATAAACGTTGAGAATACAGAAAATGAGAAGAGATAAGTGAAAGAGAAAAAATAGTTTCAAGTTATTTGTTTTAATAGAGAATAGAGAAAATATAGTATTTTTTATGAGTAAGATATATGAAGAGAAAATACATAAATGAAGAGAAAAATATGAATTTCACTTAAATTTACAATTTTAACTATTATTTTTCTATACTTTTTTATAGTATGTATTTTATATTAAGGATAAAAATGTCTTTATAATAAAATCTAATTTTGTTTCTTCATATTTCTCTCTTACTTCTTTCAATTCAAACATCCTACGCATATGTTAATTATCTACTCATTATCTCTTCTCTTTTACTTCTTTTTATCCTACTTATTTTTCTTTTACCCAAATAAAGCATATAGTATAAATGGTAACTAATGAATAATGAGTCCTGTATTATTTGTATTGTGAAATCGAGCTTGAGCTCGGCGCTAAAGCGCTAAATGACATCGGATACGCGCCACATGACATCGGCCAAAACAGAGTCCTATTACATATCGGGCCAAGATCAACCTCGGCCCAAATCAACGTTACCCTCGCATAAGAGGAAAATCCTAATTAACATCGAGGTACGTGCACTATATATATGAGATGATTACACTATCAAAGACTAACTTTAGTATCAGAGTCTCTTTTGCCGGTACCACCCCTACTTCGGAACAGCCGACGTACCCAGCAAAAGAAACTCACTAATCTTGCCTAGCATATCGTCCCCCTTGACCGATCTCCGGTAAGAACAAGTCCATTTTAACTCTCTACATGGTATAGAAGTAGCCAGGTTCACTCATACCCTCTATGTGACACAAATCTCGTTATTTTGATTAATAAGTTGAATTGGACAACCCTCTAAATAACCTTATCTCAATAATATGTTTTAGAACAACTTCATTACAAATTAAATACTTTTTTGTACTTAACATATAGATGTGGAAGTGATTAATTAAAATTTATAATAATTTTAAAATTTATATAAATTATATTTTATAATTATAATAAATAATTTATATTGTGATAGGTTGAACTATTTGTCGTTACAGGGTTAATATTTCTGTAAAATAGTTAATTATTAAAAATTTTAAAAAAATGAAAAACAAATTGTATGATAACAGATTGCTTTTCAAAACTTATGCTAAGTTGCTCCCATTCTTCGAAGAATACTATCGTTTTTTTTTTTTCCAGAAGGCGGAGAATATCGTTTTTGTACCACCAAAAATTGGCTCTTCGTGGAAGCAAATTGGAAATGACCAAATTTTGGCTCATGATATATACGTCTCTTCTTTTTGTAAGTACACCTTTTTTATATTATTTTTTTTAAATTATAAAATATTGTTTTTAAATCTTCTATTTTTACATTTTTAATTTTCAATTTGTTACTTTCTTTTTTTTTTTACATACTTTTTTTTTTCTCTTTTAGTTTTCACATGCTACCAAAATAAGTAAGATAAAGGAAAGATAAGGAGGTGCATGTAAAAATTGAAAAAAAAAAGAGAGGAAAGATGTGTGAAAAAAAAAACTAAATTAAATGTTGTGGATGTAAAATTAAAAAATTAAAAAATAAAAATAAAAAAATTAAGAATATTTTAAAATTTTTATTTTTTTTAAAAGGAGGTGTACTTATAAAAAAAGAAGGTGTATATATCATCAACCCCCAATCTTTTTGTTTTTGGTTAGGCCAAAGAGGCCCAGCTGAATAGCCCAGTGCAAAATGCATAAATATTAGAAACCAGTAAAAGCATTGAGATTCTCATGCTATTTCACGGAGAGAAAAAAATGTGTATACATTTTTTTTAAATTAACATTTAAGTTTTTTTATACAGATTGAAAAAATAAATAGTAATAAATTTAATATAAGTATATTTATTGTACCAGATAGGCTTGGGACTACCTCACTAGTATTTTTTTTATTAAAAAAAAGTGGAAGATGTATTAATAATATTTTAATTTGTGAATCCTTCACTTATAATGACGTGGACGTGGCAGGGTGGACATCTCATCTGCATTTCAAATTCCCTTTGTACCGTTACGTATATTGTTGGGGTGATAACAAACGTGTAACTAAAGTAGACGCCCACGGTAGTGCAGAAAGCAGCCGATCCGCGCCCACGACCTCCTCTTGAATCAAAAATTCGAAACCATAAACCTTTCACAGGTCACATTCTCCGGATACCCCATTTTCTATTTTCCTTTTTTATTTTTTTAGAAAAATAGAAAATGTCATGGCTGGCTCGTTCTTTCGCAAACTCTCTCCGGCTCGATGGTGACGGAGACGGAGAAAACGACGTCGTACTCGATCCACCTACCACGTCATCGAAAGATCCCCCGCCAGAAAATGTGCTCCGATCAGAACCAGAAGAATACGAAGACACGCAAGGACGCGGAGTCAAAGAGGACCTCGACGAAATCAAGCAAACCCTAACTCGTCAATTTTGGGGAATGGCCTCCTTCCTCGCTCCGCCACCTTCAAATTCTCAATCCGATCCCTCTCCTTTCGTCTCCGACCAATCCAATCATCGCTCTATTTCTCAACCACAATTGGATGACGCTGCCGCGGTTTCCGATCACTCTTCGGACGCCGAACAGGAGAACGGTCCTGAACCGAATTCGTTTTCCTTCGGATCCGATTCGGAAGGGAATTGCGGTTTCGAGCTACGCGCGGTTGGAATTACGGAAGAGGTGTTGGCATTCGCCATGAACATCGCTATGCATCCCGAGACGTGGTTGGATTTTCCTATTGAGGAGGAAGACGACACCGACGGTAACCTCCTTTATTAATTGGATCAGATCACAGAATCATTAACGCACATTCCCAATTTGGTTTTAGTTATAGTCTTATAGACCAGATCACTCTTGAATGTTAATTATATTGCATTGCATATTACATTACATGCCTTACAAACTTGGATGAAAATTGATTTTATATTACATTGTAAGTAATCAGTAATGGTATGGTCACGGGTTGCGTGATTTTGTTTTGCTCATCCTTACATGCCTTTGAGATTTTAACGTGATGAATTCTACTTTTAGATTTTGACATGTCTGATGCACAACAAGAGCATGCTGCGGTTGTTGAAAGATTGACTCCTAGATTAGTTGCCCTCAGAATCGAACTATGTCCTTGTCATATGAGCGAAAGTTACTTCTGGAAAGTCTATTTTGTACTTTTGCATTCAAGGCTCAATAAAGAAGATGCCGGGATTTTGTCTACACCCCAGGTCTGTTACATTGGATTTTGGCTTTTCCGTAACTCTTGCAATCACCCTATTGTATAATCTCTCGCAAGATGTTGGTGATGAAGTCATATTAAATTGTTTTCAGCGTTTATTTGTATAATTATGATTTTCTAGACCCCGTTTGACTAGGAATGAATGTTCCAATATCGTTATTTGATGGAAGAGCTCGCTTGCAGTTTGGAAATAGGTGGTTCTCAAAGTCACCTGTTGAGAATTTACTTGGGAATTAGATTATAGGATAAGAATGACCAATCATCTTTTCTAATTAATTGGTAAATGTAGTGGTGGTGTGCGAGAATAGTTGTAAAATACAAGTAGTGTGTTTAAATAACAAACCAGTCTGAATGGTATGGAGTACAAAAGTTACCTTGCTGTTGTGTTCTGCTAAGTGCTCAACTTTGTATGTTTTGGAATTTGATCATTGAGCTGAAAGGCTTATATGTTAAATACTTAAATTTAAATACATCTTGAAGTCCTTCTCGCTGGTTCAAGTTATTTCATTCTAGAATTCATAGACTCTGAATTTAAGAATATGAAACTATTCAGTCTCTTAATGATTTCATCACTGTAAGTTCTCAATGGTCATCTAAAGAATATTTAAATATCTGTCACTTAGGAGATTTTTTTGGGTTTCAAAAATATATTCTCATCAACTGTCCATCTCTGTCTTTATGTTGTTTATTTGGACTTCAATAAGTGAATAACTATTTGTTATGTGCTCCATTTTGTTAAATCTTTTTATTCTTTCAATTTTCTTATCATTTTGAAAAACATATAGAGCAATGTTTGATTCTTTTGGCAAGGAAGATTACTATATTCTTGTAATCTGCATTCTTCAAATATTATGTCTCTTGCTTGAAATATAGACAAAAATAGTAGCAAGGCTCGAGAAGAAAAATTATAACTTTTATTTTTTCTTGACTCATTATACTTATGCATTATGATTGGATGGTTAATAATTGAATTGGTAACAGAAGTGTTTTCTTCTTCCAGATTAGAATGTTTATAACTATTTTGAGAAGAGAATAGTTTGATATTGGATGACTTGGATGATTTGGATCTATTATTGTTCAGCCATGAAGAAAATTTAGTTTATTTAAGCGTTACTTTGCTTAGATTGGTCCAGTGATCATCAACGATATTGGTCTCTAATGTTCACGTGTAAAGCTTACCTGAACTTCTACCATCAGCTAGTATAGTATATATACCTTCATGGGTAGATGAACTTTTCCAATGTCTTAGTTTTAACGCTTGCAGGTCATGGCAGCCAGAGCAATGTGGATGCAGGAATTGCAGAAACAAACAAAGCCTGAATTTGAAATTTTTGGAAGAAATGCTTCCTACCCAAGAGACATTGCACAGCATGATGATTTTACTCCCAACTTATCAGATGATGGTTATTCTGATGACATGCCTAATCGGACATTTGGATATAGAACAACCTCTTTCTCTATGATGTCAGATTATGAAACTGACAAGCACATGGTTGAAAGTTCTGGAGTGCATTTCACTGATAAGTCTGTTATTGAGGAAAATTCAATTATTAAAACTGAAAACAAGGATCTAAAATGTGGTCGACCTTCTCATATTATCATTCAGGATTATGATGATGATGATGATGAATGGCCAGAGGAAGATTCTGATTCAGGGGGATATGGTGGAACAACTCACCCAATGGTGAATGAAGAAGATATATCTTTCAGCGATCTCGAGGATGATGATTATGGCATTAAACCTGTTAGTTCCAGCACAGGTTCAAAGGTGGTATGAAACTTTAATCCGGACATGATTGTGGTAATTTTAGGGCCTGTAGACACTAAGAACAGTGAAAAGAGTTGCCTGATGTTTGGAAAAACAAAAGTGCAGGTGTCTGGAGCATTCTTCTGTACATAATGAATGGTGAACGAAATTGCTCAAAAGCTGTGATGCTATGTGAAGCAGTCAAAAGAACTTGTTAATCCTTTATTCCCTACATCTTTATTGCCGCAAGGCTAGGTATGGGTTCTAAGGTGGATGCTGTATTTTGAAACAATTCAAATGAAAAGGAAATAGTGGAGCTAAGACCGATTTAATGTTTAGTACCTGTGTTTTAGAGCCAAAACGAGAATGTGGGATGAAATATGTGCATCAATCCGAACAGCTCTGTTTCATAAAGGTACATCAGATAGATGCAAGAAGTGTATATAAAATCTCGTTTGTCGTCAAAAATTGATATTGAATTTTCTCATGTTTTTTTGGCGGTTGTAGTAGGGTTTAGGATCTCTCTGTTTCTTTCTTTTTTTGGGGTGTCGTCCTCCTGATTGCCTTGCTGTCAACTGTTTGAAAACAATAAAGTGATTATTTGCATAGCTTTGAATGATCAGATGGAATGATATTCTTGTAAAGTACACCTCTGCCGGATTCCCCGCCCGTGGTGGATATTTTATGTTGAGTGCATGAGAAATAGAAGGTTATTAATTTAGAAGAGAGATCACTAGTTTTACGATGACCTGCTTTCCAAAGGTATGATGATTATTTTAAAGTTATGTTGTTATAGAAATATATACAAGCGAGTTTGTTAATCATTATTTTAAAGTTAATGAATGAATCAGATTTTACTGGAAACCACAGATATATTGACAATGAACTTTTTAATAAAAAAAAAACATTTTTAATCTATTAACCCTTACCTTAATATAGAGTTTGGTTGGTTGGAGCTAGAGCTGTCAAAACGGGCCAGCCCGGCCCATGTGGGCCGGCCCACTTTAGCCCACCTAAAAAACGGGCTTTAATAACGTATGCATTTTAAGTCTAAGTTCTGTAATCATTGAATTTCTGAACATTTTCAATTTTCTCTTTTGTTTGTATTTATCGAACATCTTGTTATTTAGTTCTTTTATGAAAGCACTTCAAGTATTTCCCATTCATTATTTTGCTTACATTCGAACTCACCTCTTTAATAACGTATGCATTTTTTGAATATACTTGTTCGATTACAAAGGGGCCTTCCCAATTGTAAGACCACTTCCCTAGGCATCGAGATTTCTGATCCATGGGAAGGATCACCTTTAACATTAAGTCCCCAACTCGAAATCGTTGTGCTTTGACTTTCTTATTGTATGATTTCTCGACTCTTTCTTTTTGTTGAACAAGACTCTATAACGCTATTAACCTTTCTTCGTCTAAAGATATTAATTCATCATACATTAAGTTCCAATAATCCTCAATAGGCATATCATTCTGTTTTTGCACGTGAATTGATTGCAAATTAATATCTAAAGGCAGAATGGCGTCATGCCCATATACCAGTTTATAAGGAGTAGTCTTCGTGGCATCTCTGGGGGAATTCCTATATGCCCATAAAATTTGAACAAGTGTTTCATGCCAGTTTTGAGGCTTACCCGAAATTTGCCTTTTAATTAAACTGATAATAAGCTTATTAGCAGCCTCTACTTGTCCATTTGCTTGTGCGTAATATGGTGTTGAAGTTATCAACTTAATTCCTCGCGATTCAGCATATCGAGCAACTTTCCGACCCGTAAATATTGTGCCTTGATCAGTAGTGATTGTTTGAGGAATCCCAAACCTTGTAATAATATGATCTTCGACAAAATCAATTATGTCTTTTTTGCTCGACTTCTTTTAAAGGAATAGCTTCAACCCATTTTTTAAAGTAGTCTATGGAAACCAATATATACTTATGATTTTTCGAGGAAGGTGGATGAATTTGCCTATTATATCAATTGCCCAACCTCGAAATGGCCAAGGCTTAATGATCGAATGCAATTCACTTGCTGGTACCCTTTGTATTGGCCCATTTCTTTGGCATTCTTCACAACTTTTTGCAAATTCAATGCAATATTTAATCATGGTTGGCCAATACAAACCTTTCCTCGAAAAAGTCCACTTCATCTTTTCTCCTGCTTGATGTGCACCACAAATACCTTCATGTACTTCTGCCATAGCTATATAAGTTTCATGATTTCCAAGGCATTTGAATAAAACTCCATCGAAACCTCTTTTATATAATTCATTATTTAGCAAGACATAATTGAGAGCTTGGAGTTTGATTTTTCTCTCGACCTTCAAATTAGGATTTTGCAAATATTCGACCAATTTGCTTCTCCAATCTTGTTGACTCGAAGAACCAACACTTAGAATCTTTAGATGGCTTATCAATTCCTTTTCTGTATGAATCATACACTCGAGACATTCTTTACTTACTTTATACCCTGATGCCATCTGGGCCAATTCATTTGCGATGGTATTCGAGTCTCGAGGAATATGTTGTAACTCAACCTCGTCAAATGCGTTTAACAGTTGTACAACTCGAGATTTGAGTTCGACTAGTTTTCATTCAAACATTTATATTCCTCAGTTAGTTGTTTAATAACAAGTTGTGAATCTCCTCGAGGTGAGCCAACCCGTTTAACCCACCAACCCGTGGTGGGCCGGGCCGGGTTCGATTTTTTTGAGCTCACTAATAAATGAGCCAGGTTGGGTTGGCCCACCAAATGGTCAACCCGTGGTGGCCCAGGCCGAGCCGGGTCGAGTAAAAAGGAAGTTACTCATACAATTAAACACCAATATATCATTGGTAATAATATATAGCAAGACATTAATAATGTATAACAAGACATTAATAATATATTTATACACAAAGGAGTAGGTGGAGCATATGGAAAAAGACCTTAGAAAACACACAATAAGAGGCTTATGTTAGCTCACCTAAGCTAGAACTAGTTTGGACCCACTTAATCATTCCTGTATACTAATGGGAAAAATCAAACTCACCAAAGTTGACTAATAATAGTGTTTTTTTTCCTCTTTTTTTTGTTTGCAAAAACAAACACTCCGTTTGCCCAACTTTTACCAATTGCCATCCTTTTGCAAATTGTCATCTAACTAATAAATTTTATAAAATTCAAAAAATATCATAAAATAAATAAAGTAATAAGCATTTGAGTTGCAAGAACCAAGAAAAGCCACCGCCCAGACACGAAATTGCAATCACGCCTTCACCACATAATAAAACCATTTTGCAAAATAATAATAATAATAAATAGCATAAAAAAAAGTATATTTTAATTAGATGAATAGCAACTGTAATCATATGATAGGTTTCTCTAACATGGCCGGCGCTATTGGACTATCCTGCACGCTCGACACAAGTTTTTGGTTTAAGGTTTGTTAATTAATTGGTCTAGCTGCGTGCAATCATATCAAAAAAAAAATTCATTTGTCCGTTTAGGCTCACGTCTAATCTCTTGGGGGTTTGAAAGGGCCATATTCTCAAATTACAAAGTCAGAAGAAAAAAAATGAAACTTAGCAACAGAGTCAGAGTCGTGAAGAGGGGCACCTTCGTTAAGTTGAAGCCACTTGGAAAGGGAGAGTCAGAGTCAGTGTAGAGGGGCACCAAGATGAAGCAGAGAGAGCCTTCGTGATGCCGAAGCTGAAGGCAGAGTGGCGTGGTCCCTTCCTTGCTAGAATAGGGTTTTCAATTTTTCCACTTTATGCTATCTGAATCTGAGTCTCTGTTCCTATTTAGTATTTGGGTTGGCTCAGTTGTAATAAAAAAATAGGTGGGCTGGTGGGCTGCCCGGCCCACTACGGGTTTAGCCCAAGTGGGCCGGGTAAAAGTGGGCCGGGTTTAAAGTTACCCACTTACCATAAAGCTGTTGTTTATTTTGGCCCGGCCCGGCCCGTTTTCAAGGTGGGCCGGGTTGGCCCACGGGCCACAGCCCATTTTGACGGCTCTAGTTGGAGCGGAGCAAATTCTTCTCATTCAATTTTAGTTTTTCTTCAATTTTAGGGAGATTAGAGGAGAAAGAAATTGAATTTATTTATTTTTGTCAACTAAACAATAACAGTTGCTTTCTCCTCTCCTCTTCTATTTTAATCAAACAGAATATGTAACTAAAATTTTCATATTTCGAAACGGGTCCAAGAGGAAGGTCAGCATAGTGAAATTTGGGCAACCTCATTTGAATTTAAATTGAAACTAGATTTTATGAAGAAATATAAGGTAGACCACTTGATCCATCTTTATAGGTCGTTTATGATGATGATGTACTACTCTTAATAACTCCTATATTAACTCTCTTCAGAGGATCCAAACATTTCGTTTTTACTGTTATTTTGTCTTCTTGGTTGTCACTATATTCCGTCGTACAACGTCGTTTTTAACAATGTCATTTCCCTCATTTTTTTTACTTCTCTCACCTCCCTCACCCCAACTGAATTTGTTCACAATTTGTCTGGTTTTTGATTTGCAAGGGTTTAATAAGGAGTGTGACTGCATATACAGTGCACAGATTTCTCTGTTGTTAACACCTTTTATTTTTGTTGTACTATCGTTGTCAGTGTCAACATCTCCAAGAAAGAGGGAGAAAGTCTCAAGGAAGAGGAAGAGAGAAAGCCCCATTGCGTTGTTTTTGTCAGGGAAGAAAGTATAGGAGTGGAAGAGGTCAAGAAAAATGGGGGAAAAATATCAATAAGAATAAAATTTTAAAATAAAAAATCTTGGCCTTTCATTTAAATTTTAATAGATCTAACAATGTAGAAATTGTTTCTCACGGTGGGTGACATGATGTGTTTTTCCACCATAGCCTTCGTCAATGGAAAAAATCAAAGATGTAGAGGATAAATAAGTAATGATGTTAGGATAAAAATAACGAATTACAATATGAAGAGTATTGACATTGATTGTAGAAGAAGAAAAGGAATAAGAAGTGACAAATCTTTTTTTTTAGGCTGAATAGTGATCCACTTGGTCTAAGGACCTTGGTATTCCCATTCTTAATTCTTTCTCACTACTTTAAAAACAAATTTAAAAGACCTAACTATCCCTAACCCCTCCCACATGTTTACTCTTTTTCCTTTCCCCTTTCACTTTGAGTTCTCACTCCTAGTCCTTTTCCTTTCACTACTCTTTGTCTTGCCTTTACTGTTGATCAAGCTCAAGATGAAGACATGATCCTAATTAGTTTTGATGATTACAAATGAGTCTCTTGAAAGATAAAAGTGTAACTTGTAGTTTACTTTGTGTTTTAAGCCTCTTGATAAATAAGAGTGCAAGTTATATCTTATTTTGTGTAGTTTTAAGCTTTGTTGCTTGTGTGTTTTGTGCTTAGTAAGTAATTTAACATTTTATCTCTATCTAAATGATATATATATATATATATATTAAAATTGAGATATTAAGTTTTAAATATCATGAAAATTTTTCTTCTTCTTAAAAACGAAATAAATAATTCTTTTTTTGGAGTACAAGGTATATTTCATTCTAAATTAAAACAAAAGAACCCTCCCAATTTGGTAATTAATCAATGGACAAATTTGTTAAGGGATCATTATTATCAATATTACTTATATGAAAGTAGATGGTCCAGATTAGTACCACAAAAATGGAGAAAAAATCATTGAATGTCATGTAACTAAACATAAAGATTTAACCAAATGGGATTCATATGAAAAAAGCCACTAA